ACCGCCCCGCAAGGGGGGGGGGGGAGAGAGAAGAGAGGGGCGGTGAAGCGGCCGCCCGGAAGGACCTGAGGAGCACCCCCCCGCCGCCGCCCCCGGGACTGACTGGCCGCCTCCTGGAGGGGCCCCGGAACGCTCGGGATGGCCCGCGGGGGGGAGGGAGGGGGGAATCTCCTCCAGCCGTCCAGCCTCGCGAAGCAGAAAGGGAGCCGCGACGGCAGGCGGAGTCCCTTGTGGCCCGCGGTTTCCGGGGCAGCCCGGGTGGTTGAGTCTAAGAGCACCGTCCCGACCAAGCCGCTTTGCGGGCTGTGAGCTTCGCCCTCCCCAGGGCTCCTCATACGCCGAAGCTCTTGCTTGTCTTGAAGGTGCTCCTGGACTCCCATCTAACAGGTCTGGCTTCTGGGGTCACCCCGGCGAGAGACCCTTTCGCGCCCCTTTGCGGCAGCTGGACGCCCCCCCCCCCAGGTGCCCTCCGCCTTCTAAATCACAACTGCGTCAATCTCTCTGGACACTTTGGGGGTGGTCGCGGTCAATGTTCCCTCTAAGCTGTGGAGTCTTGTGAGCAAAAATTTTACTTTGTGAGCTCCTGGCATTAAAGTTGTGAGCAAGCGATTTGGCTTCTGTATAAATTAGTTTGCTCTGGAGCCATCCTTCCTGAGCGAAGACAAAAAGGTGTGAACTGGAGGCTAAAAAACTGTGAGCTAGCTCACACTAACTCAGCTTAGAGGGAACACTGGTCGCGGTGGGTACAGCCTGTGGGATGGTGCATGGAGGGGGAGCAGATCTCCTCGGAGGTGAACCCCGCTGACTAAGCGAGCGTTATGATCGCAGCGTCAGTAGGCGCCCCTGAAGGAAATGGTGGTGGGTTTCCCAGATCTACACCCCGCTCCGTGTGTTGCTCTAGCGGGGTGGGAGGATATTTTACAGCGAAAAGTGGCTTCCCGAGGCGCGCCGCAGTGGTCCCGGACTGGTGCTCCCGCCCGGACTTACCCAGCATCTTGCTCAGCTCGGCGTTGTGCAGGTCCGGGTTCTGCTGCGCCAGCCGCTTGCGCTCGTCCTTGGCCCACACCATGAAGGCGTTCATCGGGCGGCGGATGCGGGCCTCGCCTTTGGAGCGGCCGGGGGCTCCCTGCTGCGCTGGGTCCGGCGCCGCCTCACCTTTGCCCTTGCCGTCTGCCAGGGGGCTCAGCGACTCTGCCCACGGGCACTGCATCACGAGCGGCGGGAGGGAGCGCGGTCCGGGAGCCTGTTCGTCGCTGCTGGCGTATCCAGCATCGGGGCTGCTCATGTCCACGGCGCTCTGCCGGGCCGGACCGCTCCTCGTCCTCCCGGGAGGTGAACCGCGGGCGGCGGCGGCTGCTCCTGCTCCTTGCGCGTCTCACTGGCAGCATGTAAAACTGGAGTCAGGCGGCGATAAGTCCCGAATAGTTGCGGCTGTCGCCGCGCGGCTTGGTTTAAACTGGACAATGGCCAATCGGGCTTGGTGGGCGGGGCCTGAGATAATCGCAGCAGGCGAGCAGAGGACCAGTTCCATCTGCAATTCACCTGTATAGGAGCCAGCCAGGAGTAACCTTTCCAGAGAGGAGTGGATTTTTCCATGACTTTGAGGCTACGTGGAAGTAAATTCCATTGAGACCAATGGGATCTACTTTCAAGTAAGTGTGATTAGGCTCCGAGTGAGAAATGCCACAGGGTGGTTGGCTCTATTGGGGGGGGGGGAAGCAGGAAGGCAGGGGAGGACCCTGCTTAGGTTCTTTGTTTTTATGAGCACTAGGAAAAATAAAGCATCTTAGACCTGTTTTGTCTGTTTCCTGTCTGCTGGGAAGGTTTCCTATACCGGAAGTGTCATAGTAAACCCTATCTAAGAAATGCTATTTTTACATTGGCCAGGGAAATGTGTCTGTAGCTGCCTCTACTTTCAAATACTGCTTTCATATATAATTAGTGTCTTTTAGAAGTATTTCGATTAGAAAGGAACTGGAACTGGAAATACATGATTTAACTTCTTACATGCTCTTCTATATTGGGATGTTGCAGTGTATAAACTTCATAATATAAGATATTTGCCCTTCAGCTGGGTTAGTTTTCTACTTTTACAGCAGGAACTCTCCTTAAACTGAACCAAATAAATTTAAATTGTTTCTGATATTTGGTGGCAAAATGATTCAGTGTTGCTCCAGTTTAACTGTGCAATCCGAAGAACACGTTCCTGGCAACAAACCCCAATAAATGTATCTAGAGATACACATGATTCTGAGTAGACCTGTTTAGGATAGCTCTCTGAATCCACTGATTATTTCCCTGAGTTTAGGTGGAGTAATTCTGTGTGGGGTTGCACTGTAAAATGCCAGCTGGGTTGTCAGACTGAGAGCTTCCAGCCAAAAAAGTGAGATCTACTTTCTTTGCCTTAATGCAGGCTGGCCAGTTTCCTCAGCTATGGCTCTTATAGAATACTTACAGTTGCTTTTTTTCGTCTTTGAATATTTGCTAGATGTTAACCTGATCTCGCACTCAGAAGTGTTTCTCGTGGGAATATCCTGGAAACTGGCTGCCAGCCTCAATCTAGTTACATCGGAGGGTTTGGAGTAGAAACAACTTTGATGTGTAGCGGGATTAGTTTGTGGCTCAAGCTGCCAAGGAGATACTTGGAGGAGCATTTAGAATTTTTATTTATTTATTTAGCAAAGCTCGGTTTTCTACCTGTCAGCTACAAAAGCATTTTTTAAAATTATGAAACGGTGGGAACGATTCGGAAAGGGAAGGCCTCGCCATCCCTTTTGCTATCTCGACAGGAGGGGGCGGGGGGAGTCTTCGAGCTTCCCCGTCAAAATATTTATTCCGTTTTGTAATGGGACGCTGTCGATAAGCTCAGGAAAATGCAGTGCTATCTTTGGAAGCATCTTTGACCCTGGGGCAGATGTGACAGAAACGACTCCGGAGGAAACAGATTGCTTCGCTGTGCTGCATGTACCAAGCCCGCCCACCCGCGATCCACCGTCTATGAAGCCAGGTGGCAGGTAATGCGGGCTTCGACGGCAGCAGTCTGAACCCACCGCCTTCCCGTTACTGCGGAGCGTGAGCCGCACACATTTGTCACTGTCAGGTCGCTCTAAGCAAGGCTTATAGATTTCATCAGCCGCTGGGGTTGCGGAGTGGGAAGGAAACCGGCCGCGCTGAGGTTCGCCTCTTGCCCTGGGAGGGAGTCCCGTGGGCCGGGGCGGTCTCAGTAAAGGGGGTTCGGTGGCCCTTCTCTCTATCGGAGGGGAAACCAAGGCGCTGGTTGTGTTTGAAAAAGGAGCAAACCGGAACGCAAAACGAAAGCCACCCGCACCCCGGCCGGCAGTTCGGCGCTTAGATGTACATTTTCTGCAGATCACTGGTCCCGGCTGAAAGGAAGGAAAGGTGTGTTTTGAACCCCAGCCCAGAAAGTTGTTTGTTTGTTTTGAAAGACGGCTGGCTAAGATCTAAAGCACAGTCTTGTCAAAGCACGAGCCTTTCTGTTAAGGGAGTGTGTGTGTGCTGGGGTGTGTGTGTGTGTTGAAATTCGTAGGTTTTGTTTGCAGAGATCCCCAGATCGAGACACCTCGAAACCAACCAATTGGAGAGAGCGCCAATACTTGTAAGTCCCCTGTGGCCGCATATTGAGGCTTTTACAAGCGAGTTAAGAGTCGGATGGGCGCGATCCAACCAGCAAATAGCTTTGAAATGCTTTGATTTCAAGAGTCTCCCATCTGTTTACTTAGTAGTAAGTCTCCTTGAGCTCCGTGGGGTTTATTACCAGCTAAAAGCATATTGGCTTGGTACCTGACGTGTGCTGCAAAACCTCCCATTAAGATAGACGGGGTTGGATTCGAACGCGCTCCTGGTTGGATTGTGAGCGCCCGGTGACCCGAGACCGAAAAGCCGCCGCAGCACCCTCCTCAAGGCGTCGCTTTCCACTCCCACCGAAGCCTGTCCGCTCTCCCTCCCTCGCCCCCGCCCAGCCTCGGGAGTCCGAAAGCGAGTCCCACGTCAGGCCGCCGGCGCTGGCCCGGAGCGCTCACGTCAGCGACCCGCTGACCTTTTCGACCGGCCCGGAGCAGCCACGCCGAGGGCGACGGCGCCCGGCCTGCCCCCTCGAGCCCCTCTCCACGCCCGGCGTTGGCAGCGTTATCAGAGGCAGCCACGAATGCCACACGAAAAGCCGCAAACATCCGGAGCGCTTCCTGCCCGGCCGCGCCGGCTCTCAAGACAGCGAGAAGACGCGCGCCCCACGCCCAAGTTGCATGTGTTTCTGCTCGCCAGATCCCAGGCCAAGGGAACGTCGACTCTGAAGAAAGTGGTTTCAGAATCTCGACCTAGCGACATCCCTCTCGCCTTCACAGACTCACTGATTTTGCTCTCTTTGAATTCGGTGAGGTCTCTAAGTGAACACGCGCTGCTAGGCACGTTTACTCAAAAATAAACCCGCCGCTGACACCCGCGGCACTGACTTCTGAAGGCTGCACATGGCCGCGGCCCTGATTTTGCTCCGCTAAAGTCAAATGAAATCTTCAGTGAATCTCGTTCACTGAGGGGAGATGCCAGTCCTGACAACGGGGAACTGGGACTTAAGCCCCACCGCTCAGCTTCCCTTCTGTAAGACGGAACTAGGCGATGATCTAGCTCACAACCTCCTTGCGAGGGAAAACAGATAAAGGCAGTGGCCACTAACATGGAAAGAGGAGAATGACACACTAGCATGATCTGTGGGTGACTTTCGGCCGGTCACTGTCCAGCCTACCTAGCAGGGTTGTTGTCAGGGCAAGTGGATAGGCGCGAACTCCGTGCAGGCCACCTTGAGCTCATTGGACATATGGGGCAGGATAAGCGCAAACTGCATTCCTGAAAACCTTTTTCCTGGGAGCGAGCCTCCTTGGATAGAACCAAACTTGTTGCCGTGTAGGCCTCTTTAGGATTGCTCCCACAGTGAGCCGGCGGGTAGCTACCATGGGGCTATTCAGGGCTCTACCCCTCCCCCCACAAGATTTTCTCCAGAAGTCAATTTTTAACGTTTCTTTAAAGGCGCGTGGGGGTGGAAGACAAAGTGCAGGGTGGGGCATTCCTTCATTCTCCCCACACACACACACACACACCTTCCTTCCCCTGGTTGAACTCTTTCTTCCTGGAGGGGGTGTGGTGGGGTGTTGTGTCATTCCCCTTGCCCCCTTCCCCCAATCAAATCCAAGATGAAGGGATGGCAGAATAGACCCCCAACCTATTTCACACAGACAGAAAAATAATGGCTGCCCCAGCAGGGAAAAAATATTGCCCCACAAAGCCACAAAATCCTGGCTATGGGCCTTTTATTAGGACAGCTAGGGGATACCAACGATTTGGGATCGTCCCAATAAGAGGCCTCTGTTGGCTTTTGGTTTGGGGCCCACGCGGCCACCCGCGACTTTCCCCTCTAAGTAATGACAGCCAGAAGCAGGACCCCCGACCCTCAAGGCAGATAAGTCTTGGTTCGCTGGTTGGCGTTGGGCCCCGGCAAGAGGCGCCCGCCCCTTCACCGGGGCTTCAGAGAAGGGCTGCTCTACTTGGGGGAGTTGCTGGCGCAGTACCGGAGCGAAAGAGGGGGAGCTGGGATAGAGAGCACCAGTTTTTAAAATGCAAAAGTCTTGGGTGATAGTGAGATATTGAAAAAAATGGTATTTAGCAGAGATAAGATAGTCCAGCAGTCCCGGAATAAAATAATTCAGACTGAGAGTCCGTGTGTGATTAAAATATAAAGTTTTTACTACATTCTAGCATGGGAAGGGTAACTGGGATGAAAATAACAACAGAGCATAATCGGCTACATCCTTACTCTACAAAGACAAAACTAGAAGAGAGGGATTATGGCTGCTCTTCTTCTTCTTCAGAACACCAAACAAAGACGGGAAGAGAAGCCATAACATGCTAATACACCTTGACACTTTAGTCCCAATCAAATTCCTAGATCAGAGAGAAAATTCCCGGGCTTTCTACATCTAAAGAACATTGGTTACATGAGAAACATGTGACTTTCTGTGAGTAACATAAACAAACATTTAACCCCAGATATGCTGAGTGTTTTCAACTTGTAATACCCAACAAAAAGTCACTCGGGGACATTATTTATTCAGGCCTCACCGGTGGGAGTAGGAAGAACGCGACCTTCATTGGGATAAAAGTCCATCATAATATACGTCAACGAACAACCAGTGGTCCGAGTGCCTGGCAAGGCAGAGACTCAGGGCGCTCTTCCACCGAGAGCCAGTTGCCCGGACGCAGTTGAGGCTTGCGTGTGGCTCGTCGGTTGTTTAGTCTCTGAT